AATTGGCGGCGGGAGCAAGCAGCTGAACCGGAGGAGGCTCGCTCTGCCGGCACCCAGGTCGACCAGTGGATCGAGGGAGAGCCGGGGGAGCCAACGATAGTAGGAAGTGAGTCAGTGGACTTAAGTCCAGGGGGGCACGCGCTGTCACCATGGTTAGCCTAGTCTAGCCTAGCCTAGCCGCTAGCTGCGAACTCACCGCCTGGCGCTTCTCCACTGCGGGCAAGCTAGCACCAAGTGGGGGCAAGCTGCCTGGGGGAGAGCGTTGGCTTGGCGTGTGAACATGTTATGAAAACCGGATCGCAGCCTGGGTACACGGTGGCGGCGGCGCGGCACTGGAGTCTGGCAGTGAGGATTGGCTCTCAGCCTTGATAAAAGGGTGTACTTGCCCAATGTACTTACCCATGATGTTTCTTCTTAGACTGCTGAAGAAAAAGAGGGAAAGTGGGAGCCGATCACAGGTCACAGTGGCATTTATGCCATCGCAACGGACCTGTTTTGGGGACAGCCCAGTGCAGGGCACAGGGCGTGAAAGAATCTCTTCAGGACTGCACATGCGTGAGGGATAATCCCAATAGCGACACCTCTTAGACGGCTATGCCTATACGAAATAGAACATGTTCAAGTCTCTGCAGCAAGATGCTGTGACCAATGGTGTCAAAAGCAGCACTAAGATCTAAGAGGACATGTATGGAGACAAGTCCTTTATCTGAGGCTAGGAGAAGATCATTGGTGACTTTCACCAATGCAGTTTCTGTACTATGATGGACTCTAAAACCTGACTGAAAATCCTCAAACAAATCATTCTTGTGCAAGTGGTCACATAAGTACTTAGCAACAGCTTTTTCCAGAATTTTAGAAATAAACGGGAGATTGGATATTGGTCTATAATTAGCCAGAACACCTGGGTCAAGAATAGGCGTTGAATGACGACATGCGGCTAAACATGTCATCACTGGTCAGATTGTGCAGGGGTCCAGAGAAAACTACGGAGTCCAACATTGTTTTAGCAAAGTTACACACCGACTCAACATTAATTTTAGTGACGTCCGACTGGCGAAGTTGGGAGTAATTAGCGCTGACATGAATAACAACCTTACTGTGTTTACGCTTATACTTAGTCAGCAGCTTCAGATAGGATTTAATGTCGTCCGCTCTGGCCCCAGGAATACATTTGACTATGGCCGCTGGTGTGTCTAACTTCACGTTTCCAGTGATGTGCGGTCAGGGGAGGCAGGTGAGGCAGAGCCTCCCCTGTCAATCTTGAAAAGAAAAAAAAAGTTAACCATAAAATATAATAAATGTTAATATTTGTCGGCTGGTGTGTGTTGTAGGCCCTTTTGCCGTTCGAATCCAATGTTGATGGAATTTTTTTCAATAAAGAATAGCAGAATTTCCGTATGTCCTGTTCAAATACATGGAGGAGATGAGCGATGAGGCAGCACTTTGCTGTGCCTCTCGGTGGATCGTGTAATCCTCACAAACTGTATGCGATGCCAATAGTGTGTCGCTGTCCCTCTATATGTCGCAAATAAAATGCTTTCAAACACTCTGATTATATGCTCTGCCTTGCCATAATCTGGATAATGTATAAAATGTAGTTCTGTAACGTGTTTAGGCTCCAGATTAACCATAAAACCCAGTCAAAACGTTACTCGGTGAGGCAAACAGTACGCCTGCCTCAAGGCAGAGGGCGCTAGTGAGCCCACAGATTCTTGCGCTACCTACAATCTTCTTCGTGCTTGTTTATATTTCCTTTACGCCTTATCAAAATGGAAGATTACATTTCCAAGATGAGAAAATTTGCAAATCTGGACTTTCAATCAAAACATTTTTGACAGTCTGGACATT